AAGATCATTTTAGCTAAGAAATTATTAATTCCTAGTGAAAAGACTTACAATTGATGATAACATACCTTGATATAAAAATTGAACTATTATTTGAATTTATCTATAAACTAGRGAAATTAATTGCTATATAAAGCATATATTTGTAAACATACGAGGGACGTACAATCGTCGTTGCCATAACGCTCGGATAATTAAAGTGAACTTTGCTATTTTAATATGGCAGATGTATCCATCTGACCAATTACTAGTTAAAGTGTGATAATTGCTAGTCTAGAGTGATAGACAGGTACGCATATACASGTACTTCAAAGCTAACAGCACCACTACAAACTTTTAAATGAATATTTCACTTTTATTTTTTTGAGAGTTGATTTAACTCCAAAAGTGGAGTTAAGAAAAAGGTACAGGATGACTCCTTTTTAGGAGTAAATATAACTCCACATATTATTTAAAMTTATCCGCCATAGTGGAGTTAAAATTAYACCTGGCGGAGKTAACTTTACTCTCATTACGGAGTAGATTTAACTCCCTTTAAAGTTACTCCATTGGGTGGAGTAAATTTAACTCCCTTGACAGAGTTATATCAACTCCTTGAAAATAACAGTGCAACTATTCATAACGTTTTCAACTTTCATTAAAAATAGTCTACAGTCCAAAATYCTGTATTAAATGCGTGCTTACACTACGTTWATTTGCGGTTACACACCAAAAGGCGTTGTGAAAACGTACGATTAAGAAATATTTTGAACAGTTTTTTGGAATAGTCTATATCTATTCTTACTTTGTCCCATCTCAAAGTAAAATCCGACAAGGAAAATATTATCACGTTTGGAAAGCATCAGCGATCGAGTTTGAGAATTGTGAGCAGCATTTATTCGACTTTTAACTACAATAGCAGAGCTCCCGTGAAGGACGAGGCCAAGTCGAGGAAAGGACCAAATATACGAGAAAAAAGCAAACCATCAAGTCTCCTCCATTTTTCATGGAACAAGGGTGTTCTTTTTATGACGTGTACACGTTTGCTAAGATCAACAACCTTCACAGGTCGGGACAGACGTTTAAGGTAAATCGAAACAAAACGTAAAATTCTGATTGAAATATTAAAATTATGGTTCTGTTATGGAGATAATCTTTGAACGATTACAAGTTTTGACATGACAGTGGGTTCCTCCGCCGTTTTGTTTTTTCTTTAAATAAGTTTGAACTTAAAAAGCTGTTCTCATGTTAAATGATTTTAAAAAGCATTTCTTTTCATGAAGACATATAATCAAAAGATATGATTAAGTTGTGTTCACACAGATGTGTTGAACTACACTTGTAGTTTTCGCTCGTTTTCGATTCTGGCAGATTTCCCTACGCGGCAGTCGAAACTATAACTCATTATAACTAACGTTATACGTAATATAGGGATATCGCAGTACTTTGATCGTTTACTCAGCAGCAGGGTATATGGATTAACTTCGTTGCTTAAAATCAAAGTTTTCATTTCTTGAAATAGTCTGCCTCTAAAGCTATACTTCAATAGCAGTGGATTCTGATAAATACTCAASATTTTCCTTTTGATCCCCGCCGCTATTAGGTGTTAATATTAATATTAGGTTCTAGTTTTATACTTACTTTGATAAAACCTGTTTCTAGGAAGAAGAACAGTYAAAGTCAAATAACCAAAAATGCCCAAGAGAAAGGTGAAGACTAAAACACGCCGATACCTTATCTGAAGCATTGTACTCTGGRAAAAGGTCCTCCGTCCTGCTGTGTCACTTATATATAAAAACATCGTTTTTTATCATTAAGTATGGATGAGTTCGTCCAATYAAATAGCTCATTGCTCAGCTGTTAGAGCACTGCACCGGCATCGTCATGGGTTCGATTCCAGTTGAACCCCGAACTTTTTTTCGGGCGCGTTTGACTCATTAACAATTGCTTAGTGAATTTTTATCATTTCACTGCGACTATCGATCATAATTCACTTGTACATTTATTAACCACAGTTTGGACCATAATTTCCTCATTCAAAGAAATTCAAGATAATTTCTCGCGATATCTTTACCATGTCACCATGATGGATATTCCGTGCAACACTCGATTAGATAAAATGTGTTTATCATATAGATATTGATGAAATATTACGTTCAATTCTCTTATGTTAAAAACTTGTTACTTTCACATGTGAAGACATAGTAACAGCAACCCCGCTTGTCATCTTAATAAAGATTTTTGTTGAGCTTCTGCTTATTTAGCTTTATTGATGATAAATAAAACATGACAAATATACATGGTCACTTGGAGATACGAATTTTGTCTTCTCGTGCGGCGTGCCGCTGACTAGTAGCAGATCGCCTGCTCTGCCAGTGAAATCCATCTGCACTTTCCGTACACGGTATGGAATGGACGATACGAAAAGACCTTTTTTGATTTGATTAAACTCCCGCAGAAACTAGGAGTCAAAATCTGAGACAAACCGAATCAATCAACCGGTTTATACGTCGATCTTTTCCCGTGTTTAATCTATTGTTTTAAAATATAAATATTAATAAACATCATCTACGATGATAGAAATCTCGATGTTTTTATACGGAGTGGGACATCGCTGCGGTTAGTTTGACTGCGCATGCGAAATACAAGAAACAAGACTCCTGAGACTCGGTCATGACTTCAACACGGAAAGCAGGTAGATTTTTTCCTATTGTGTAAGGAATGATGATAGTTCATATTGTACCAGTCACGAAAAAAGGTTTTTTATCTTTCTTACAACAAAACAACTTACATCTGTCGAATGAGCCCGTGGTGTTTGCGTTCCCAACCATTTTTTAATCTTGATTTAAAAGAAATCTCATTAAAAAATCATGTCCAATAACATTACAAACTGCCAACTTTACAATTTCTGTAAACACAGTTGACAGCAGAGTTGGCATGAACTCCAAAACTCGTACCGAMGAAAAATAATAATCTAATTAACTACCGCTGAGATCAATCTACTGTTATATTATCATACTGCTACAAGCATAATTAATGGACTTGTTCATCTGTGTCCAAGGAACTGCAACCAAATYGTATTAATATTTACAAAGCTGTACTATATTTTTCCAAGGCGCTCTTTTTATAACACCGGCTTTGGTTATTTGAGTAACGGTAAGCACGAACAATACTAAGTTTTCAAGAGTTTTTATTGGGAAATTGGGTTGTTTTCTGATAATCTTTTCACAGTTACCTATTTCAATTATGAAACTAATATGAAGTCATATTTTGATTAATTTGAATTATATCGGTATTAAATAGTCTGCCACTGGAAGTTACGGGTAAATCGTCTACCAAAAACACGAGCTCGTTTGCTGTTAAAATTCGTACAAGATGGTGAACAGAAATTTGTTTAACGGCGGTCGTTAACGTTGAGCCTGTTAAATATGATGGAGATATTGATCAGTAAAAGGAAGCTAACGTAAATCTGAAGTCAGAATTACAGTCGGCTTTGGGTTATCATTCGATCGATATTCGAAGKTTTTCGTCACATTTAATAAATGTCATTGACTTTACATTTTAATTTAAAGTAGATGTTATTGACTTTACATTACGTAGTTGTTTACCTCTGGTTGAATGAAAGACTTTATTTTTGAATAAATGACTAAAACATAATTTAAAATGATCGAGCGGTTACCAGTACACCGGAAAAAACTTTTGCAATCYCAGTGAGGTAGGTTAGATCAGAATTTGCATGAAAAGTTTAAAGATCAACACTGCTTAAGGTCTACGCGACAAAATTAAACTCTGCGCCACATAAATAAATTTGCAATACGCTTTGTTATTCACTTTGACGACATTATGCATATGTATTTATTTTAAAARTATTCGCCTAGTTCATCTACACAGAATTGAAAGTAACCAGGAGCCCATAAGAGCTGTATACTTAACAATTTGTTCCTTTAGCAAAAACTTAGAAAATTATATTACCATCCAACGAATGGTCTGTATTAACTGAGGCGTACAATCACATATCAAATCCGTTTGGTCCGCCATTTAATACTGACGGGGGCTAGCAAACTGTACCCACAGGCAGCCTAASATTCAGTGTAAAACCAGTTTTTCCAGAGTTTTTATGGCCCCCTTTTGTCTTATAGACAGGTGCAGCTTGGAAATTGCTTCATTAAACACGAGMATTATTGATTGTCATTGTTAAACATKGATTAATTGCTTTGTCCAGCACAAATTAAAAATAAAATCCCAATTAAAACATATTAATTTCTCGACATTATTCCAGAAAGCAGCCGAGATACTATTAGAGATCGCCTAAATATATATGATTTATTCTTTAGACTAAAGTTGATAATATGAACGAGGATCCGCACGAAGAACCTTCTAAGCCACCGGTCAACAAAACATCTACCATATGGAAAGAATTCTACGAGAATTCCACACTTCATGGGCTGCGGAATATGTTTGAAAGCGAATATTTAGTTTTTAGRCTTGTGTGGCTGGTTCTGGTGCTGTTGGCGCTCGGGTGGCTTATTTTCTCTGGTATTGGMAGCGTCCGGCGATACTTTGAATACCCGACCACCATCAATATAAACGAAGAAGTAACAGTGAACGAAGGATTGCGGTTACCGGCAGTTACAATCTGCTCTCAAAACTTTGCCGATAAGTACAAAATATACGCAAAAGATAACGACACTATTTTTAAAATATACAATCTAAACATCAGCGCATGTGCAGCTACCGCTGAAGTACGTGCAGGACTGGGAGCACCTTGCGGGCTCGCTTTGGCATGCGCTTTTGTCTCTCTGGATATTTTACAAGGCCATCCATTCAGTGAATGCACACCAAGTTATCAAAACATCATGAAAGAAGCCTTGAAGAATGCAAATGTCACTTTTAACATGCTGGAGTTTATTCATACATTTGGTGAATCTTGGGGAGAAGTTGTTAAATACTGCTTTTACGGTCTGGATTCCAATTCTTGCACCAGTGTGAAGATTTTTAAGAAGGCCGTCAAGAACAACCGATTATGCCACAAACTGAACGATGATAGCAACAAGAGCTTGTCCTTCTATAGTGAAGCCCCAGGAAGCATCGGAGGAATAACCCTTCTGCTTAAAAATCGCCCCGATCGCTATTTTTATCCTAGATTTGTTGAGGGTTTCGTCGTTTATATTCACCAAGAAGGAGCGGGATTCGGTGATCATGAAATCAATGTTCCACCAGGAAAGTTAACATCAATTGCAATGGAACAAGAAAAGGTATACTAGCTGTCATGACATTTGCGTACTCCTTCTCCCCCCTTAATTCCAGCGAAGTTTTCTTATTTCTTGTCAGCACTATCGAGTGCAAGGTCACAATTAAATGTCATTCTTTGGTTTGTAGATCAAATTAATAGAAGAAAAAGATGGTGGTGACTGCCGAAAAAAAACTCTTCAGAGATATAAAACATACACCCAAATAGACTGCTACAACGAATGTATTAGCAACTCCATTAAACAAAAATGTGGATGCACCATCGCTCTGACAGCAGGTATAAACACTTCTTTCACAAGGTTTACTGACGTTAGGGGCACCCTTTGTAGAGATAAGTAGCATTAAGCTCCAACACCTCAATATGAATTGCTTTATTCAATCTTCATCGACTGATGTTACATCCTATTTCCACAGCGCAAAATGATTCCATAATTTGCAGCGCCAAACAACAGACCTGCGTGAACAGCAATTCAAGTAAGTGTCAATGTGAACATCAGTTATCACAATAGCTTTTGTACCATATATCCTAAAGCAGATGGACAGCTTGTTGCAAACCTAGAGTACGTACGGATCTTTTAGTGTGATCGAAGGATGAAGAAAACTGTCAATTGTTTTTCAGGAGCCAAGTCTTATAATGTATGTGACTGTCCTTTGGCATGTGAAGGAATTAATTATAAAACGTCTGTCAGCTACGGTGYCATGCCTAGAAAAAYAAYCACAGGAGTATCACAAATATTCCCGGACGATTACTCAGAGTAAGTGTTCTTCTTTCTGCATTCTTGGTGATTTAGGTCAACAAGTGGAACAATAGTAGTATGCTTTGGGATTTACRACTTTTGTAAGAAGTTGCAATGGCGCAATATWGCGATGTCTCCACTTGTYTTAGTAGATATTCCATCTCAAGGATTCTTTTATTCTAGAAATGATTTTCTGGCCATCTCAGTGTTTTATGGCAGCCATCGTGTCGTGACATTCACGCAGAAAAGGACATTTGGGACGATTTCACTTCTTGGTAAGGAAATGTTAACATGGAATTCTTCAAGTGTGCCATCATGAAAACAATTCTTAACTTCACAAACWATCGAGRTCAAGGAAGGTTTACTAGATAWGTCATGGTGCTTCGYGAGCACAAAACCTGACAAATTGATCGGTTGTTCTTCATACCGACGGAGCATCAACGTGTGAAGTTCAGTACAAGTTCTGTCTTTTTGTAACGTATTTTTTCTATCGCAACTATAATGCAATAGAGGTGTTTTGATACCATCTTTCCAGACACATCGCAATTTAAGACATTGCTTTTGTACAAATGAAGTCGGTGAAATCCAATCCTCATTACTTTGTTGTGGTTAACTCCCAGGAAAACTAACAGGCACAATCTAGAGAATTCGAGCTCCTTKSTCCCTTTTGTCAATGCAATGTAGTTATATTCTGTTTCCTATTTGTTCTGGACGTTCTGATATGGAGGTTTGTATTTCAGGWGAGATCGGTGGTAACATGGGACTRCTTCTTGGCTGTAGTGTMATCACACTTGTCGAGTTTCTGTTTTTGTTTGTCAAACTGYTGATGATGTGTTTTCGCAGACGAATGGAAAACACAGTAGCAGGACGCGGCTGACTCGAATGCAGCTGGAAATGAACATGGTCAAACGTTTCTTACAACTGATGTAGTTAACAATGGAAAGCAGAACCTCAGACTATCCATAGGAAAATAGTGAGAACAATAGTGGTACTACTGATAATATCTATAGGTATTCCATGATGACAAAATAAAACTAATTAGCATACTGGCAAGCAATTCAACTATTTAATATACATTTATAAGATCAGCTACTTCCTCATACGATTACATTTATAAGAATATATACATCTCCAATTAACATTACGACATGAGGTCCATGAACTCCAATTGCTCCCATGCAAAAAGKGATCAATCACCGGACCTACAGTAGTTCGAGTGTAATTTGGTTGATATATGCKATTGGTTTTGAATTAATGTCATTATTGGGCTAGGTTTGGTGCAAGAAGACCCCCTGCGATACGATTAGCGRTTGGAGATTCAAACTGCAATTATTAGTAATAAAGAATTAATTTTCAATTATTATCATTTTAATTCAGTATACTTTAAACTGTCAAGAAACTGAGAAAAAAATAACTATGAGATTGACATACTGAAACAAGCACGTGTTTTCCCGAGCGTCAGSTACCGCTGACATACTTAGGAGCAGACCTTGCGGGCACGCTYTGACCTGTACTTTTGTTTTGTTGGATGTTATAAAAAGAGTCCAAATCATCAATTGTACTCCAGAATACCAGAAAAACAAAAAAAAGCAAATAATCGTCTTCATTTGATGAACATAAAGATACTACCAATCCTCAAACAAACACTCAGAGGTCTATGACGTCTCAGAACCCGACTATGAATTCTATGTTCATCTATTAATATTTTGTTTTATTTTAGGAATGAATTCAGTTCTTGACATATCTGTATTTTATAGCAGTCATAGTGAAGTAATATATAAACAAGGTCGGACATTTGAAACGATCTCTTTACTTGACAAGGAACATCTCATTGAATTMCACATCATCTGAAATCAGGAAGTCATTCGTGGCTCTCGTGCAAGGTTTTAAAAAATCCCATTTTTTTCGCAATATAACACTCCATTWTTAATTAAAACACTGGCAAACAATTATGGATTTTTATTTTCCTTTTTWATATAAAAGAAAATATCACGTAGAGTTTGATTTATAATCAAGTCAGATGTGAGTTCACTGTTTCTCAGGAGATCGGCGGCAACATTGGACTCCTGGTTGTAGTGTCATCACACTTTGTTTCTGGTTTTTCGTGCTGTTAATGAGTTGTTTCATATGAGAACAATTGATATATCGTAGTAGTTCAGGCTGGTTTATGTGCATCGTTCTTGAGGTTTCACTATACATTAGACCATAGTGGTATTATATAGTCGAGTTTGAAAGTTCTACCGATAGTGTGGTGAAGATAGACAATAGAACAAAATATTCAATAGAAGTCATTTTCTGTATGTATTATTCCCCCGCGTCTATGTATACAATACAAGTGTATATGCAAACATMCCTTGCAATTARCATTCACGCGCATCAATSCATCATTCGGACGTCGTCCAACCAAGACATAACGACTCCAAATCAGTATCTACAAGAGCTGGTGTATCTATTGCATTTACTTGGGTTACCAGTCCTTTGCAATTTAACATAATGGTTACATGCAGTATATATAACTCTAACGGCTGACAACTCTATTCATCATCATGGGTAAAGACAGGTGTGATACAAGACACCCTACGATGTCATTAACAGTTAAAAAACAAACTCATTCAAAAAAGCATTTATTATTTTTCATTTTTTTATTATACTTTGAACTGGCTAGGCTGAAATAAACTGCTGACTTGTAGCTTTCTCTTTCAAGAAACTTTGTTTTGCTAACTTTGTGTACCCATGGAGTGCATTAAMGAAAACCAATTAAAAATGTTTCTTAGCCAAAATTTAAATCTAATTTAATTATCAGGCAAGTTCAGATTTCATCCATCAAATTTAATTATTTGCGATGTTTTGTTACGTTGCTAAGCAGCACTGCATGATGTGCCCAGTTTGACGATGAATTATTGTACTCAAAAAAACTCTCGTTCATTTCTTGTTAGAACACGTCAAAGACTACTGCAAGAACGATCAACACACACGCTAGGTTCTCGGTRCCTTAGAAATACTTTCATCAATTCAGGTTAGAAAATCAAAATTTCAAGTTAGAAAATTTGATTGCCYTTTAAAATCTGAAAAATGAAGTCTCGCCCACGGTGACAAAAGTTCAGTTTTGACATTAACATAAGAGTTAAACTTGGTTTGAAGAAATGGTACATCAAATATTCTGGGATGATTTCCATTCGCTTGAAGAAGTACAAACAGAATTGCGTCTTTTTAAAATAACAACAGCTACTACAGTGCCATAGCATGTTTTGTATTTTTTCTGTCGAAATATATATGAATTACATCAGAGTCATGAACTATTGTGGGACATGAAACCTTGATAGTTAAATCTGATTCTGCTGCCTAACATTCTATGTCACCATTTTTTGGCTTATGGTTCCACCGTGAAAGAAMTTGCGTATTTAGGTGGAGAGGCGGCAGGGCGAGGGAGGACAATGAGGGGGAATTGGGTAGGGCGTAGGGGGATAATTTGATTAGTTCTTCATTMGCCATTGCGCGRTGTAATTTCTCTTTCTCTATTCACTACTAGCTTATCAAGTAAGTCGTTCAAAATTCTGATTATTCAAATCTTGTCAATTTGTTTGAGGAAATATAACACTGTTAAACGTTTTACGTGTAGATGTCAATGCATGTTCAAATCAGATCAGTCAATGTTTTCCAGACAGACAACCATGACTGAGAAACCAGAAAGATCRTCTCGAGGCCCAGTAGAAAAGAAATCCACCATTTTGAGAAACTTCTACGAAAATTCCACCCTCCATGGGCTGCGGCACGTATTTACAAGCGAAAACCTCGTTCTGAAACTCGTGTGGCTGGTCCTAATACTGGGGGCGACGTCCTATTTTACTTATTCCGCTGTAAACAGCTTTAAGCGATATTTTCAAYACCCCATCACTGTSSACGTASAGGATGGCATGCACCCTACACTCCCATTTCCAGCCATYACAATCTGCTCGGACACCCTCGCTGACAGAGAAAAAATATACGCAAATGATARCAGCCACTCATTTCATAAATACAATCTGAACATCAGCGCATGTGCAGCTACCGCTGACGTACGAGCAGGCGCACCGTGTGGACACGCCTTGGTGTGTGCTTTTGTACCCATGRCATACRAWRCCAGTGKAATGCTTGATAACTGTACTCCAGAATACCAGTATATTATCACACAAGCTTTGATKAAGTCGAATGTTACTTTTGACTTGTTGGAGTTTATTTAMACGTTTGGTGAATCTTGGGAAGAAGTGCTGAAATTCTGCATAYATGGACKGGGCTTTAAAGATTGCACAAATACAACACTCTATAAGAAAACYACAAAGGACAACARTCTCTGCTATACACTCAATAATGACAATAATATGCCGATCTTGAGTGATATTCAGGGATCTACAGGAGGACTGTACCTTCTGCTGAAGAACCGACCTGAGCGATACTTCTATCCAAAATATACACAGGGCTACAAAGTGTACATCCACGAAAGGGGCACTGGATTAGGGGACTCTGAAATTCCCAGCCCGCCTGGTAGTATAACAAAGATTTCAATCCAGAAAGAGCAGGTATGACATGGGTAAACTTTAAAGGGATGGTGTTATTATGATCATCTTACATTATAAATTTATACTCGTTCTCGTTCAATTGTAGTATCAGCTACTGGAAAAAGGAAATGGCGGAAAGTGCGAGAAAAGAAGTCTTAAGAGCGGTTTTCCGAGACCGTCAAGCAAGGTTGGTAAAATGAGAAAATTCAAAATCCTTCAAACTTTGTCATAAAATTGCATTTGGTGAGCTGGTCATGCTGTGTGAGTTTGGTTTCAATCGGGATAATATTCGGGAAGAAAAGCGAC